GTGAAATTGTTTTCTTCACATACACCAGCCTGTCAGGAAGTTGGGGTCAGAGCACAGCCATGACACAGCGCCCCCTGGAGCAGAGATGGTTAAGGGCCTTGCTCAAGGGCCCAACAGTGGCAGCTTGGCAGTGCTGGGGCTTGAACCCCCAACCTTAAGCCTTAACCGCTAAGCCACCACTGCTTGAGATATTAATGCAACATGTTCATTTTTCAAGGCCACACATTGTTCTCGCAGCACAAATTACTATGTTGTCACAAGTCATGGCCATGAACTATGGAACTTGAGCTCATGACTTAATATGTTGCAGTAACATCATTCCAAGACTGAAGTGAATCAATTGTTTCCATCTCGACATTTAGGTTCCTGTGTCCACGACAACAGATAGAACAGTTGAGCATTTTGTTGTTGCTGTGTTTATTCATTTCCACACCTTACTAAAAAAAATAATCCCAGTGTCACCTCTGCGGCTTAGCAAAATTATTATGAAATTCATCATTCACAAGGCAGCTGATCTTACACTTCAAAATTCCCTTAGAACCATTAATAACGATATGATAAAATAGTCACCAAAGGGTTAAACTATTCACAAAAACACTGAAAATGGAAATAACCAATTGACCATAAATTCATATCAGCAAAATCCCTTAAAAATATTTTACAAGCACTTAAGAGTAAGATAAAGAACACACAAACACTGCAAAGTATACATCAGATACTGTATCACACTCCAGAAGTTTAGCGCTCTATCTTATCAGCCGATAAGACCTTCAGGAACTGAATCTGGTGTAGAAGAGAAACAAATTTTTAAAGGAATCTTGAGGATTTATTATTTATACATAATAAATCATGGATTAAAGTGTGCTCATTTTATCGAGTCAGGATTACAGAATATCAGGTCGTTTCTTATTCTGTATCTTACAAAAGGTCACAATTGATTAGCAACGTGTTAGTTGAATGTGCACAGACTTTGTTTCAGTGCTCTTTTTAGCTTGGGTTTAAGGTAAATCTCTTGTCTTAGAGGTGGACATATAGAAGTTATTCCTAACCAATATAACACGAGGTTATTCAGATACGGTTGCATAAATAAATCAGAGTCTGAGTCAGATTGTTTTTATTATTATTATTATTATTATTATTATTATTATTATTATTATTATTATTATTATTGACTCCGGTTTCCTTCCCCCAGTCCAAAGACATGCATGGTAGGTTGATTGGCGTGGCTAAATTGTCCGTAGTGTATGAATGGGTGTGTGAGTGTGTATGATTGTGCCCTGCGATGGACTGGCACCCTGTCCAGGGTGTACCCCACCTTGTGCCCAATGCCCCCTGGGATAGGCTCCAGGTTCCCCGTGACCGTGAGAAGGAGTAAGCGGTAGAAGATAGATGGATTATTCTTGATGAGGTAAAATGACACTGAAGAATTTAATCTGGATCGAGATTAACTTAATCTGACTTAATCTGGTTAAGTTACTTAATCTGGATCGAGCAAGAGGAAGAGTAGAACAGCAGATGTAAAACAAATAAAGTAATAAAATGTTTACTTTTTACTCTTTGCCCGTTGGCAGGTTGAGTTTTCACACTTGGCTCATAATCACTGATTTGCATTCGCACAGAATTCCTTCTGAACAATGGCTCATATTTGGTATTCTGTACATCTCTTTTGTGCACTCAGGCTTGCAAAATTCTAGGCACAAGGTTCATTTGTTTGCTGTATTTTATTACTTTCCTCTGGTAACGACGCTCAAGTGGCGAAGAGCACTGCTTTTTAGATGCGTGGTGTGTCCATGTATACGAAGGAATACCTACGAATGTGGAGTGGATCTCATATAAAAGAAGATGTTCAGCCTAAAAAGATTTCGAGATGCTCCATGTGCAAGAGTGAAGTAATTACAGTGTTCCAGTTCTATGAATGTCTGGTTTTGTATATCAATAACCAAACATCACAAAGGTTGAAACAATACGTAACGTGGCATGTTGCTTGCCATGCAGCCCGAGTGTGGTAAGCTTCCACTTTTGATGCGGATCATGCCACCGTTTGGTTGAAGTGAACCCCAGACCCCCATTTTCAAGAGGTCCAGTGAAGGGATCTCTGGACCACTCTCAGGCTTGAAAACAGCTCGCACACTTAATCGATTGTAAGGAACTCAGGGCTGGAAAAAAAAACAAAAAACCCGCAAACAAAAACAACTTAAGAGTAACTGCATTTCACACTGATTGGATATCTAGTGCATATTACTTGAATTAATATGCATTAAATATCCAAATATTTGTATTAGATATCCATAATATACATATTACCATTTTTAAAGGTAAAACTACACTTTATGGCCAAAAGTATATGGACACCCAACCACCACACCCATATGTGGGCTTTCCCAAAGCTGCTGCCACAAAGTTGGAAGAATACAATTGTATAGGATGTCATTGTAATGCTGTAGCATACACGACCAAACCTGTTCCAGCATGACAACATCGCTGTACACAAAGGTTGGAGTGGAAGATTTTGAGTGTCCTGCACAGAGCCCTGACCTCGACCCCTCTGAATACCTTTGCGATGAACTGGAACGACGACCCCACAAAGCCACGCTCCAAAATCTAGTGGAAAGCCTTCCCAGAAGAGTAGAAATTTTTATAACAGTAAAGGCGGAATTGACGTCTATCAGACACCCTTATCCAGAGCAATTTACATATCTCTCTCATTTAAAAAAAAAAAAACACACAACCGAGCACCGGCAGCTTGGTGAAGTGATGTCGGGATTTGAACTCATGACCTTCCAAAGCTTAACCAGCATAAAGCAGTTACTGAAGATAACTGAACAAATGAATGTATTTCTAACAACCAGCAATGACAGAGGAGGATCCCTTCCAACATGGCAACCCGAATTCATCTCCTCTTTCATAGAGTGCTGAATAGACCTTCTCAGTTCCCCTGTACACTGATAGAACAGTTTCACTGCTTTACTGCTTTTCCTCCCATCAGACACATGCCGAGGTAAGTCATCACTGATTTCTCACAGATCTCTTTTATACAGAATGAGGGGTTGTTACACTTAGTTTCACTGATGCAAGCTCCTCCAACTGAAACTGTAGCTTAGGTCAATGCATGCTTCTCAAACTTAAAGTTTAGATAAGGAATTTTTTTTTTTAAACCATACATGCTTCTAAAACTATAGATTATATAAGGACGTGCTTCTAAAACTGCAGTTTATGTGAGATAAACCATAGACACATCCTGTGGACTATTATATATATACCTATATTATAGGAGATTCACATACTTTGTGGGTTTGGGTAGGATAGACATCCAGGACTTAACTAAATTGGCCTTAATGCTCAAGTGCATAATGAAATAAAATAAAATAAAAAGCAGATTGGGAAATAGAAATTTTTCCCAAGATTCCTTCTTTAATGGTCGAAGTCCAGCGCAACCCTCTAACACCACTAAAGCATTCCAGTGTACAATACCTTAGTAAACACAGCATACTGAAATGGACTATACTTAACTCTGTGTGTGTGTGTGTGTGTGTGTAGTAGTCATTTTTTTTATGATTGTCACGGACAAAAAAAAAGCTTGACTTTGCTGCGGCTTTTGTCAAAATTTGTGATGCGAATTGCTTTTTTCTGCGGAAAACTACTTGAACTGTCGAAATCGCATTTGCACGAAATTGCTGGTAAATGAGACCATTTAGGGACTGGCACCCTGTCCAGGGTGTACCCCGCCTTGTGCATGATGCTCCCTGGGATAGGCTCCAGGTTCCCCGTGACCCTGAAAAGGAGTAAGATGGATGGACGGATGAGACCTTTTAGCTGTACTCATGTTCGATGCACATGACTTGAATAGGGCTTTGGCATGATGAACGCGCATCATGATGACGTCACATGACGCATCTCGGCCCAAATCTGCAGAAAATCTGTGTTCTTTTTGAAAAAGTGCAAACTCCTCCAGATGTTGCATTTATTCATGCAATCGAGGGACTGAATATTGCAAGTGTGTGCCCAGATTCATGTTGACCCTCAACGTGGAACCCGATGTGGTGTTCTGCTGTGGTAGCACTTCTGCCTAAAGGTTCACCGTGTTGTGCGTTCTGAGATGCTTTTCTGCTCACCACGGTTGGAAAGAGTGATAATTTGAGTTACTGTAACCCTCCTGTCAGCTCGAACCGGTCTGGAAGCATTCTCCTCTGACCTCTCTCACCTTATAGTGTACAGAGATGAGTAGGCACTGGCTCGCTGAAACTGGGACAGTTGAAGATTGGAAAACTTCATGAGGTCTTTTATACCCAACTGGATAAGTTTGAGTGTACAGGTGGTCTTATTAAAGTGGCCGGTGGGTGCGAATAATTGTGTTTCATTTCATTGCATTTCAACCGTAATTGCGCATTAGCTTCGCAGCTGGGATACAAACCTCAAAGACGTTCCTGACGAGCTACCGATGCTAGAATGTTACGTAACGTGAGTTTCACTACATTAGCTGAGAAAATGTAATCATGAGTATGAATCGCCACGGACACAAATGTGAATACTTAAAAAAAGAAAAGAAAATAAAAGGCTATGAGACAGACCATTAACTTTCGACACGTTCCTCAGACCGACCGTAGGGTTTTCTCAGGAATGTTTTTCACACTTTCATAGGATTCTCTTCATGAATTATTGCTTTGGCATCTCACAGAAAGAGACCTGACCCTCCTACAGATTTGTACAAAATAAGGAACTTCACAGTGTTTTGAGACTCTCAGTTAGCACTGTCGTGCTATGATATTACATTAGCGTCGGTTGGGAACGATGCAGCAGATGATTTCACGTGTCTCTGAGGAAGCATGTTGTGGCTGATGGAGATCCAGATATTGAGGTGGAAAATGGAAACATCTGAGAACCTCATAAATCACAGCTTTGTGAAACGATATATAATCTGGAATTTGTTAGCTAGAAATAGTCACTGAGGTGAGATTTATGCGCCTGACCCCTAAGTCTTAACAACATGTAGACTTTTATGGCGCACGGTGGTTTAGTGGTTAGCACGTTCGTCTCACTCCTCCAGGGTCGGGGTTCGATTCCGTGTCCGTGTGTGTGGAGTTTGCATGTTCTCCCCTCTGTGAGGGTTTCCTCCCCCAGTCCAAAGACGTGCATGGTAGGCTGACTGGCCATAGTGTACGAATGGGTGTGAATGGGTGTGAATGCGTATGTGATTGTGCCCTGCGATGGATTGGCACCCCGTCCAGGATGTACCCTGCCTTCTACCTGCTCCCTGAGAAAGGCTCCAGGTTCCCCACAACCTTGAAGGATAAGCTGTATAGAAAATGAATGGGATGGGTGTACACTTTTAACAAAATAAATATACTGCTATGGATAACTATGTGCTTACCATTAGCATCATGCTAGTTACCAGCTTCCATTCATTATTAGCATGTTTATTGCTATAGCTTAGCGCCTGACCCCTAACTCTTAACAATATCGCCATTATCTTTTCTTGTGTAAAAAAAAAAATACAATAATAATTATAATAATTATTAATATCATTGAGAACACTTTACTTTTAACAACATAAATATATTGCTACTGGCACCCTGTCCAAGGTGTGCCCCGCCTTGTGCCCGATGCTCCCTGGGATAGGCTACAGGTTCCCCGCGATCCTAAACGAATGAGTAAGTGGTAGAAGATAGATGGATGGATGAATTATATTGCTACTGCTAACTGTGCTAAATCTAGGACTATTCGCATCATGTTAGCTACCCAGCTTTCATTCATTGTCAGCATTAGCATTAGGAGTGTATACTAATCATTTGTATCTTCATTTGTGTGTGTGTGTGTGTGTGAGTGAATGAGTTGGTATTTTGTCGGAAGCACAGATGGCGGAATGAGGAGATCCAGCTTAATGAAGGGGAGCGAGAATTACCTGAGGCCTGAAACACACATCAAACACTCCTTTATCTCCTCCACTCTCTCTCTCTCTCTCTCTTCATATATATATATATATATATATGCGTATATATAAAATTCTTTCTCGCCCACATCTGTTCCCTTTTCTCTCATTTTCTGCCCTTTCATCTCTGCTATCTCTTGCTCTTTTCCTGTGTGTGTGTGTGTGTGTGTGTAACACCTGGAACAACTTTCTTGGTGCCGTCCTTCACTTCCAGCTGTAAAACTAAATGGCCTCTCTTTCTTTTTATCTTTCTCTAATTCTGTTTCTATCTGTCCATCTCTATTTCTCTCTCTCTCTCTCTCTCTCTCTTATACTCTCTCGTCCTTTCCCTCTTATACTCCCTCTCACTATTTCTCTCTCTGTCTCCTTTTTCCCCCCTTCAGGTTCTCCTTTCCATTGTCAATTCTCTCTTTCCTCTTTCTTCTCTCATCCTTCCTTTCTCTTTCCTACGTTTCTGTTACTTGCCTTCATTTCGTTGTTTTAATTTTACTTTTGTCTTTATGTCTATATGTGTAACTCCTTCTGTCTCTATATATCTTTCTCTCTCTCTCTCTCTCTCTCTCTCTCTCTCTCACACTCATCGTGTAGTGTGTATGGGAGTGGGGCAGAGTCAGGCTGGAAGAGACCACGCCCATCAGGATTGAAATGTTTCATCACATGATAAAGGTGATCAGTAAGAAGGACTGTATATTGATAAATACACGCCCCCTTCCAGTCTATCCTTTCATTCGTCACCCTCCTGTAGTTTTATTAGCCGGATGACTGAAGTAGGAAATGCTTTAGACAGAAAGGATATGAGAGCATGAGTGAGACAGAAAAATGGAGGAAGAGCTGCCAAAGGGTTAGAACATGAGAGAGGGATAAGAAGAATGAGAGATTAACAGAAAGAGGGATAAGAGGTAGAAAGCGACCTCAAGAATGAGAAGAAGGAGGATAAGTTAGTTGGTGAGAGAGAAAGAGAGAGAGGGAGTATAGAGTAAATACTGTATATAGTAAATTTATTTTGAGCTGAATTTGTATATTTATGTCCATTGTCTGCATTATTTTTATTTTATCTTTTTTAATCGAATCGATTAGTATTTTCTTCAGTTTTGTTTTCACTTGTTCTCTCTTATTTTATTTCTCGTGTTTACACTACCCTTCCCTTGTACTTGCTTCGGTAGTACAAATGTATAATTGTTTGTCATGCCAATAAAGCACATGAAAACTGAGCAAGAGAGAGAGAGAGAGATATTTTGCCATCTTTGCCCTGCAGACAGGAAACAGTCTAAGAGGAAGTTGTTAAAGTACACAGGGACAGAGATGAGGCATGTCTCTGCCTCTGTCTCTGTTTTTCTCTCGCTCTCTCTGCCTCTCTCTCTCTCTGTCTCTCTCTGTGATTCTGTTTGCCTTTCTCTCTCTCTCTCTCTCTCTCTCTCTGCCTCTCTGTCACTCTGTGATTCTGTTTGCCTTTCTCTCTCTCTCTCTCTCTGATTCTGTTTGCCTTTCTCTCTCTCTCTCTCTCTCTCTCTCTCTCTCTCTCTCTCTCTCTCTCTCTCTCTCTGCCTCTCTCTCACTCTGTGATTCTGTTTGCCTTTCTCTCTCTCCTCCCTGCCTCTCTGTCTGACTGTCTCTCTCTCTCTCTCTCTCTCTTTCCTTTCTCTCTCTCCTTTCCTCTCTCTCTCTCCCTCTGTCTCTCAGTGCGACTCTGTTTTTCTTTCTCTCTCTCTCTCTCTTCATCTCCGGTGTGTGTCACTCTGGGTGTGTTTGCAGGAACTGTGTGCAAATGTGTGTGTGTGTGTATAAATTTCCTGTGATCAGCATAACATAAACAAACATATTTTGTATGCATCTTGTGTGTGTGTGTGTGTGTGTGTGTGTGTGTGTGTGTGCGAGTGTGTATGAGAGAGAGAAAGAGTGTATGCAGTCACTGCAGCGTGTCCAGTGTGAACCAGCACTGTCTGTAAAATGGTGAGTGTGTAAGATTACTCAGGGTTTCCACGTGCCGATGCCAGTGAGATCATTAACACGTGAAAAACTTGGTGCTTTTAAATTGATGCACACAAACCCTTGAAGCCATAACAGCAGTTTAAATGCTTTGTGATGTATTGCATAGCAGGATGTGGCTATTTGTAATACGTGCAAAATGAGAAGTAAAAACACTTATAAAAAAAAAAAGAAATAAAAAAAAAGCCCTCCCCAGATTTCATATCAGGTACAGAAGTACATACAGTAAACGTAACAGTGAAGGCATGAGGTCTGAATCGAACTGAACAGCTCAGTCGCTCAATAAAAAAACGCCAACGGAGGAAAAATCCGGCATCATTTCCTGTGTGTGCTACAAAGCCAGCAAGACTGGAGTTCAGAGAATAATGAGACTGGGATAAATTAGCCGTATTTGCTAACTAGACAGTTCCTGAACACATCCGCAGGCTTTTAGTGTAATTAACCTTATCTGCTGGGGCGTGTTGAGTTGTGTGCGATCGGTAGGATAAAGACAGGAGGATGTTAAGTAACTAAATAGATGTTCCCTCAAGTCCAGGAGCTTGCTTTTTTTCTTCTTCTTTTTTTTAAACTTAATTAATCATCCAAAACTAATACATAATAAATTTTGAGTTGTATTGTATTATCATCCCTACTGCCTTCAGCTAATGTATCAGACTTGGATGTATATCAGTGAAGACGTGTAACAGACTACAGGGTGTCCCAAAAGTCTCCATGCATAGGGATCATGCATTCCAGCACCACGTCGGTTGCATCTTCGTCAATGCTAGTAGATGTTCGTGGACGTCCAGTTCTCGATCACTTCCTGTCTTTTTGGATTTGTTAATCTATTTGTCGTGTGTGATGTTCTTGCCATATTTCCTGTTAAAGTCCAGCGCAACCTTGTGAAAGCTTCCCAGTCCAACCATGAGAATGAATTCAATACGGCCTTCTGTGGTCAAAGGCATTCTTAAAGACTATCTGGAATGAATGAATTAACGAATGAATGAATGAATGAATATATATATATATATATATATATATATATATATATATATATATATATATATATATATATATATAATATATATATATATATATATATATATATATACACACACACACACACACACACACACACACACACACATATACACAGTATATATATATATGTATGTATGTTTAAAAAGTGCTAATTTTCCCGATTTATAGAGGCTTTTGGGACACTGTATATTAATTTGTGAGGAACATAATCGAGACAGGATGGTGTGATGTGACCCAACATGAAGCTGAGTTACCCCGAAATATATTCCTGTTTAATACAACAGCCTGTCCGGAAGTGTTTTATTCCTCTTATACCGCACCAACTTGACAACTTATTAGTTATTAAATAATGTCATGTCATATTTTTTTTTTTATCCATTTAATGTTGGGGACTGTCTCCGAAACAGGTTAGTTCCTGTTATCGCTTACTTTATAACACCTATAAACAGTCGGCGGTGTAGGCACAGCCAACAGCCAATTATCCATCAGTCCTATTATTATTAGATTATTGGGCGTGTCCACATTAGTCCCTGTGAATGAGCTGTTACAAAGCGGAATTTCTTCTATCGGTTTAAAGCTGTTATCATATTTCAGGAAATACAGTGAAGATGATTCTTGTTATTCTTCAGCACATGTGTACTGTAAATGTAAAGGTAACAAGCATTCGAGCATCCGGCAGAGAATTTCCACAGTTCAATTGGCATAAGAGTTTGCAGTGGTTCAGGGGGTGAAGTTCGTGGATCTATCGTCATACCACTTCATCCATATGCAATGTAATTAAATCTAAGCACACCATCACAAAAGGAAAAGAGTTGGTTCTATGACCAGGAGATCGCGAGATCATTAAAAAATGATAGCGTCTAGTAGTAGGATCGGACCATTTTAAACTTAGTGATGAGTAAAAATGTGTAGAGGTAGGTTTAATAGATTTCTAACTGTTTAATAGTAATCTCATAATAAGAAATATTACGTACGTTTTCACACACCTTATGTACCTTGAGTTGTACCTTGAGGCTGCTCTCGTTTGGGGTCGCCACAGCGGATCATTGGTACACATATTTGATTTGGCACAGGTTTCACGCCGGATGCCCTTCCTGACGCAACCCTTCCATTTTATTCAGGCTTGGGACTGGCACTGAGT